TTGTTTGGTACCCCAGTGAAAACATTCTGCATTGCAGACCAATGTGTGCTTCTTTCAAGGGCCTGGGATCATTGCATTCTTAGCCATTGTCACAAAATACATGGAGTCATATTTAAAATGTAAAGTTGTAACATACATATGTTTAAAATGGGAATGCAAAGCAAAAAGATGGATGTGCAATGTCATGTGTATTCAGTTCTCTGTACTTAGTAAATGTAACTGACTTGTCTGTTAGTGAACTATGGGTGCAAGGACACATCTCTGGCTACTTTGCATCTGTAATCCACAAAGATTCTGGGCAGCTGTATTATCACAGCTTGTTGTTTGTTTGTTTGTTTGTTTTTTGCTGGCTGAAGGAAAATTTGTATTTTAATTATTTTTATGTACAGAAAACTCAACAGTGCACATTTAACCCAGGTTAGTGGCAAGTTCTTTAGCCTTTGCCTTTTTGAGCTTGGTGATATGAGCCACAGACTTGGGACCCAGGACATTGCCGCCCCAGTGACGGTGGATCTCCTCGTATCTGTCATTGTAATTGGTCCTGATAGCTTCCACCAGCTTAGCCAAAGCGACTTTGTCTTCCGAGTTCACTTATGTGATGGTGACAGTGGTCCAGGTCTTCCTGTGGACTAGACGTCCCAGTCTTGCCTTCCCCTTGATAATGCAGTAAGAGACTCCCATTTTACAACACAGGGCAGACAAGAAGACAACCAGCTTGATGGGATCCGTGTTGTGTGCAATCACCACCAGCTGAGCCTTCTTGTTCTCCACCAAGGTGGTGATGGTGTTAACTCCTGCTGGAAGGACAGGTGGTCTCTTAGAGGAGACGTCCCCTTTGCCAGCAGCTTCCTCGGCCTGGGCCGAGAGCCTCTGCTTCTTCTCTTGCTTTGTCTCTGGTCTGTACTTGTGGGCCAGCTTAAGCAGCTGAGTAGCTGTCTGGTGGTCCAGGGCCTGGGTGAGCTGGTTAATTGCAGGAGGCACTTTCAGCGACTTATAGAGGATGGCTCTCTGCTGATAGAGCGGGGCCATTTCACAAAGCGGGTGAGGTCTCTTTTGGGCTGGATGTCCTGTCCAATGTCAAAATTCTTAGGCCTTTTCTCAAACAGGGGATTCACCACTTTCTTGGCCTCCTGTTTTTTCACAACAGCAGGGGCAAGAGCCACCTTCTTTCCCTTGACCTTCTTTCCTTTCGGCATCTTGGGCAGTGGGAGGAGAGCCATAGCTTGCTTTAAATAAACTATGTGGTAACAATGAACAATAAGAATAGAAGAAATAATAGCTTGCCTGAGGTCACAGAGCCAGCAGATCTTATAGGTAGTGCATCATTTATATAAGGAATGTGTATCTAGAAGATATTGTTTGGCGTTGGCTAAGGGTGGAATGAATCATGTATGTAATAGATTATACAATTTACAGTAATGAGTGGACAGATTTACTTATGGGGCAGGTTATAATGTAGTGGGATGAGAATCTAGAACGTGCCTCCTAGGCAGTCATACAGATTGTGCATTTGGTAAGTCAGGTATGTCGTGGTTTGTGTATCTAATAGCTCTTCATCTGCAGGCTGTCCACCTAGTAGCTCTTGGATATAACGCGTCATGGCTGTGGCATGGTGTGGTTGATCCTGGTTGATCGTAGACCTTATTTAATTGAATCTAAGATGTCATCTATAGAAAAACGCATTGTTATTTTTGTTACCAGTGAAATTCTGACATGCCATTGATCACATTTCCCTTTAAGCAATGTGGAAGTGTGCCTCAGAGTGGATGAGGCCGTGGATTGCTGGGTTGTGTGGGGAGTAGCTGTGCCTGTGGCCTGCCATACGTGCCAGGCAGGTGGCAGAGGCCTGGGCTCGGCTCCTGGAGGCTCCTCCCGGAGCTGCCCTCCACTCTTACCCCTTTGTAAGAGTTTACTAAGGGGTAAACTCTTCTGTGTTTACCCCTTAGTCAGATCTTCCGTTTCTGTCCACCTCTGCACTGCCCCCAAGGCCGGTGGAGCCAGATCAGATATTCCTGGGGTAGGCATGGGAGGAACCCACTGGTATATGGTCTCTTTCAGCCCCTTATCAAATCTCAAAGTGTGGGTTGTGGGGGGCTGCCTCTTGCTCCCTGCCTCAGAGTCTTGTCCTGGCCAACAGAAAGCTGAGCCAGGATCATCTTTCCATTTTACAGAGGGAGAAATTGAAGCCCTGAGAAGAGACGATGGAAATAAAGTTATCGGAATAGTGACTGAGCCAGTTCCTAAACCCAGGTCTCCTGACACCAAATCTAGCCTCTCTTGTCCTCCACAATAGTTGCTCCTTCTCCCCTTTCCCTGCAGGATATAGCACTTCCCAGTCATCTCAGCTTCAGAGGTCAGATCAAGTGGGGAGAATAAAGCTAAGCAGGGCAGAGAAAGGGCTTCTAGCAGTGGGAGGAACATGGAGATGCCTCCTCAGAGCACTCAAACACATGCCCTGACTCCCGATTTGCTCACTCATTAATTCACCCACACATTCACTCATTCTCTCACTCGTTAATTCACCCACTCTTTAATTCTCTCACCCATTTGCTTATTCACTCGCTCATTAATTCACCCACCCATTCACTTATTAATTTGCCCACCCATTTGCTTACTTACTCAGTAATTTACCCTCTCATTTGTTCATTCACTCACTCAATTCATGCATTCAGTCAACTCACTCATTAATTCACCCTGTCTCTAATTCAATCACTCCTAATTCACCCACTCATTAATTCCCCCACACACTCACTCATTAATTGGTGCTCCCACTAATTCACCCACTCGTGCTCACAGGTGTCACCGAGTCCCTCCAACCTGCCCTTCCAGTCAGCAGCAAAGGACAGGCTCCCAGGCCTCCCAAGTCTCAGGCTTTCCTTCCTCTGCCCTCACTCTCTGCCTTCTACATCAAGACTTTACTTCCCCAGATTGATTGGCAGCCCTTGAAAATGTCTGCACAGAAGGCAATGAGGGCTGGAGGGAGTGAGAAGAACAGAGCGCACCATGAGCTTCAGACAGCCAGGACCAGCTGTGTAGTTTTCAGGGCCCCATCCAAAACAAAAATGCACAACCCCTTGTTCAAAAGTCATGATGGATTTTAAGTCATGATGAACCAGGCACCAGGACTTTCTAAGGGCTGGGCTGCCTGTGACTGCACTGGCGATACCCCCACCAAGCCCACTCTGAAGGTAGGAGCCAGGTGGAGAGAAACAGGGATGGAAAGGGGGATACACAACAGGGATAGGGAGGAGGAAGAGGATGGAGGTCTATGAGGCCCCATTTGGCGTGTGACTTATGCCATCTCATTTCCTTCTCAGACCACCCTTTGAGGTTGATTGTACATTTTACAGAGAAGGAAACTGAGGCTCAGAGAGAATCATTTACCCAAGGTCCCAGTTAGTAGATGGTAGGCGCCAGAATGTAAATCCAGGTATCTGCCTGCTCTGGGAGGGGGTAGGAGTGGGGGAAACAGGAGAATGTGACGGGAAAATCCGAGGTGGAGTTGGCCTGGGCAGAAACACTGGGAGCTGTGGGAGATGGTGAGGGGCAGGGTGGGATCACAGGGAGCAGGAGCAGGGAATTGGAGGTGAGTCTGGCCCTCCCAAACTTCCAGTCCATTCTGCTTCCAGGGGAACCGGGAAACTGCAGGGGAACTGGAAGGGAGCTCCCAGAACAAGGATTCAGAAGATTGGCATCTGGGGCCTGGGATTTAGGTTTCTAAATCATGGGCCATGGGGCAGCCTTATCTCCGCAAGAGCATTGAGGGTAGAAGTCAATGATTTGGGAAGTTATTGAATTAGGGGATCTTGGAGGTAGGCTGTCAGTGCCTGATAGTATCAGTTAGAATGCCTGACTTGGGGTGACAATGGCTTGGAGGGGTGGGTGAGTCAAGGGTCAAATGAGTGCCCATGAGTCATGATGCCTGCCTTGTACAATTGATAACTGAACATCGGTGAGTTAGGGCCTCAACAGTTGTAATTAGCACCCCGGGTGTCAGCCAGAAACCAACAAACAGCCAAATCCCTGCAGCCCCGCCCTGCCTATCCACCGGCGGGGGACCGATTAACCATTAACCCCCACCCCTCCCCGGCAGAGCCTCCACCCCTTCACAGAGGCTAGGCCAAGACTCCCAGCAGATCTTCCCAGAGGACGGTTTGAAAGGAAGGCAGAGAGGGCACTGGGAGGAGGCAGTGGGAGGGCGGAGGGCGGGGGCCTTCCGGGTGGGCACCCAGGGCAGGGCAGGTGGCCGCGGCGTGGAGGCAGGGAGAATGCGACTCTCCAAAACCCTCGTCGACATGGACATGGCCGACTACAGTGCTGCACTGGACCCAGCCTACACCACCCTGGAATTTGAGAATGTGCAGGTGTTGACGATGGGCAACGGTAGGTGGGGGCAGGTGTGTCAGTGGGGGCAGGTGTGCCTGGGTCCAGGAACAGATCTTTGGCACTCAACTTTGGGGTGGGAGGAGAATGATAGAAAATGGTAGGTTGGTCCTGCAGGCCAGCACAGGTGTTGCCAGGTGAAGCCCATGTGCCCAGGTGCAGTGATCACAGGCATTCCGGGTGAAGGGAGGCCTGCAAGGGCCAATTTCCAGCAAAAGTCGATCCTGGCTATTCCTCCCAGGGCCTTCTATTCCTCACTGCCTCACAGTGGCTCCGCTTGGCGCTTGGCGCAGTGACGTGATGGTGAGCTCCCCCTTGGTGCCCAGCTCCAGCAATTCAGCCCAGCACGGCCGCTTCGTGAACCCCTCGGGCCTAGGTTCAGAGAGACAGCGAGGGACATTGTATCCCTGGAGATGGTGGTTGGAGACATAACTGCGTTTCTCGGTGTCTTTGGGACTTTCCTAGGGAAAACAGAGTTCTCAGGGAAGTCTTGCTAACTACGAAGCCAACTCAGCACTGTGTGTGTGGTGTGTGCGTTCGTGTGTGATGGTGAGTTTCCATGTAGGTTGTATGGGTGGGGTGATGCCTTCAGGAACACATTTGCATATGTGTGTTCATTTGTCTCTGTGTGTGAGTTCTGGGTCTATTTTCCTTTGTATTCATTGAGTGGGTCTGTGTTTGTGTCTCTAGGAGGTGCCCATGTTGATCTTACTTATGCATGTAAGTGACTATGTGTGTGTATGTGTGTCTGTGGATGTTGGTACATGTGTGCTGTGTGTGCGGGTCATAGAGCACATGTGTTTGTGCATGTAGACCTGTTGGAGCGCCCTGTTCTTCCTGCATCTTTATCCTGTGTGAGCATTTTGTCGTGTGCCCATATTTGTACCTGCTGTGTACATATGCAGTCCCCCGTACTGCGGGCGGGGGTCAGCGGTCTCTGGTGTGCCCACATTTATACCTGCTGTGTACACACACAGTCCCCCGTACTGCGGGCGGGGGTCAGCGGTCTGTGGTGTGCCCATATGTGTGCCTGTGTACATATGCAGTCTGCGGGCGGGGGTCAGCGGTCTCTGGTGTGCCCACATTTATACCTGCTGTGTACACACACAGTCCCCCGTACTGCGGGCGGGGGTCAGCGGTCTGTGGTGTGCCCATATGTGTGCCTGTGTACATATGCAGTCCCCCGTACTGCGGGCGGGGGTCAGTGGTGTCTGGTGTGCCCATATGTGTGCCTGTGTACATATGCAGTCCCCCGTACTGCGGGCGGGGGTCAGCGGTCTGTGGTGTGCCCATATGTGTGCCTGTGTACATATGCAGTCCCCCATACTGCGGGCGGGGGTCAGCGGTCTGTGGTGTGCCCATGTGTACCTGTGTACATATGCAGCCCCCCGTACTGCGGGCAGGGTCAGCGGTCTCTGGTGTGCCCGATTGCACAGACCCAAGTGCAGGACTCTGTTGCTGCCATTCACCAAGTGAGATTCACATCAGCAACATGTCCGTTTGTCTCTGAGCAGATTTTGTTGCGGGCGTGTCTCTGCAGATTTAGGCATCCCTCCGACATCTCCGGAGCATATCTGGAGGGGCGGGCAGTTCTCCTCCCCAGGGAGGTAGGGGAAAAGAGGAGGCCTGGAAACCCCTCCTGGAGGGAAGGGCCCCATCGGTCCCAGCCTCAGAGGAGAGGGGGCAGCAGCTGGCTGAGGTCAGCCTGCCACCCCACTTCCTTGTGTGTCTTGGAGCCACACAGCCAGTATCAGGCTGCAGCTGAGGCCTGGAAGCTTGTGGTCAGCTCAGCTAGAGCGAGGAGGCAGCCGCTGGGCACTGCCTGTTGTCAGCTCAGCAGGTGCTCACCTGCCCCTGCTATCCAATCACTGTGTGACCTTGGGCATGTCACCTCCCCTCTCCTGGCTTCTGTATCTTCTACAAAACAGGCTTCACTCCCCCAGGCCTGCTGGCTGGCGGGCTTTTAGGCCTGAGGGCCATGCGAGGAGCGCAAGGCGAAAACACACCAGAGATAGCAAACAAGTTGCAGCTGTACTAGGTGGAGTGTCGCGTGGCCCCACGAGGACCGCTGCCCCGCCCCGGGCTGCTCCCCGACCCCATCACCTTTTCAAAGCCCAGGAACTGTGTGCTCCTGAGGCAGAGGGCAAGCCCCTGAACTGGATGTCCCAAAGACAAGACCGCCTCCAGCTCTGGAACCAGAAAGATCTGGGCGCAAATCCAGCATAGATCCTTCCAACCTGTGTGAACGTGGCAAGGCAGTTTCCTCTCTGAGCCTCAGTTTCCTCATCTATAAAATGGGAATAAATAATAGTGTCTGCCTCCCAGCACTGGCCAGATGATAAATAGCCTGGGTGCTTAGCCCTGGTAAAGGGCCTGGCCCCAACATGGGTCGTGTCAAAGGCTCTGAGCATCTGTAAGCAGGGTTCCCACGTTCCTCGCTGGAGTTTGAAGTGGTCTGAATTGGGGTTATGTGAAGTTGTCCTCTGAAGTGTTTTGAGTACATCCTGGGCTGGTGGCTCAAAGGCTCCAAGGATATTTCTTCCCCGTCCACTCCCCACCCCAATGCAGCGGCAACCCCAGCAGACATCTCAACACGTGCGGCACTGGCCAGAGTAGCCCAGCAAGCCTGGACCATAAACCCGTGGCTCTGCTTCACAGCAAGCAGTGCGATGACATCAGGAAGCCACTTGTCCTCTCTAAGCCTCAGCGTCCTCACCTGCAGAATGGAGGTGCTCGGCTGACCTCAGAGGGGAGATGATAGAGCTGACAGCCCCCAGCTCATCCTGCCCCAGAGCTGGGAGCTACTTCCCCAGCCTCCTACTGAATGACCAGGAGCTGTGGGGTCAGTCTCCCCGGGGGTCGAGGGAGGAGAGGCGGAGGGAGAAAGGGCACCCATGTGGCTTAACAATTATCCCCATCTCCAGGAATAATTCACCAAGTCCTGGGGACACCTGGGAGTCTGTGATGGCAAAAATGAGATGCGGCAGTGTCTGCTTGTGACAGAGCCTGGAAGTCCTCTGCTCCGAGAGCTTTCCCATGCAGAAAAGTTTTTATTTCACGAACACTGATACAGTGCTTACTATGCGCCAAGCACTTCACATACACAAATGAGTATTCACCGGGTCCCCATAACAAACCTAGGGGAATATCACGTTCCCCATGTTACAAATGAGGAAACAAAAGCATAGAGAAGTAAACAAACACAGCCAGCGTCACATGGCTAAAAAGTGGGCAAGCAGGGACTGAATCCTGGGCAGAAGGACTTCAGAGGCTGTGCTGTTACCTACAGCACGTGGCCCTCTCTGGGTCTAACTGGATGCCTCTGAGGAATCCAAGGTCGGATTCAGGATTTCTATGAATACACGCGTGTGTGTGTGCATGTTTGTATGTGTCTGTATGTATGCTAGTGCATGTGTGTATGTGTGTGTGGACTATGTGTATGTGTATGTATATGTGTGGACTGTATGTGTGTGTGCACACGTTTATGTAGGTGTGTGCTATGTGTGTATGTGTCCGTGTGTGTGCATGTGTATGGACTGTGCATGTGTGTGCATGCATGTGTTATGTGTGTGGACTGTGTGTGCCTATGTGTGTGCACATCTGTGTGTGCATGTGTGGACTGTGTGTATGTGTGTGTGCACTGTGTGTGTGTGTGTGGACTATGTGTGTATATGTGTGAACTGTGTGTGTATGTTCATGTGTGTGGAGTGTATGTGTACACATGAGTGTATATATGTGTGTGTTGATGTGTGTGTGTGTGAATTGTGTGTGTGCGTATGTGTAGACTGTATGTGTGTATGTTCATGTGTGTGGAGTGTATGTGTACACATGAGTGTATATATGTGTGTGTTGATGTGTGTGTGTGTGAATTGTGTGTGTGCGTATGTGTAGACTGTATGTGTGTATGTTCATGTGTGGACTGTATGTATGTGCATGTGTGTGTGTGCGTGTGTGTGTGACTGTGGTGTGTGTGTGTGCCTGTGTGGACTGTTGTGCATGTCTGTGCGTGTGTGGACTGTGTGGTGTGTGCATGTGTGTGTGGACTGTGTGGTGCATGTGTATGTGTTTGTGTGTGGACTGTGTGGTGTGTGTCAACTGTTTGATGTGTGTGTGCATGTGTGTGTGACTGTGTGGTGTGTGTCTGTGTGCATGTGTGTGGGCTGTGTGGTGTGTGTGTGTGCTTATGTTTGGTGTGTGTGGACTGTGTGGTCTGTGTGTGTGTGTGCATGTGTGTGTGGACTATGTGGTGTGTGTGGACTGCGGCGTGTGTGCACGCATGTATGTGCGTGTCTGTGTGGTGTGTGTGCATGTGTGGGCCATGTATGTGCTTGTGCATGGCATGTGTGCATGTGTGTGGACTGTGTGATGCATGTGTGTGTGGACTGTGTAGTGCGTGTGTGTGCTTGTGTGTGGACTGTGTAGTGCGTGTGTGTATGCTCGTGTGTGGTGTGTGTGCGTTTGTGTGGACTTGTGCTTGTGTGTGGACTGTGTAGTGCGTGTGTGTATGCTCGTGTGTGGTGTGTGTGCGTTTGTGTGGACTGTGTAGTGCGTGTGTGTGCTTGTGTGTGGACTGTGTAGTGCGTGTGTGTATGCTCGTGTGTGGTGTGTGTGCGTGTGTGTGGACTGTGTAGTGCGTGTGTGTGCTTGTGTGTGGTGTGTATACGTGTGGACTCTGTGGTGCGTGTGTGTGTGCTTGTGTGTGGACTGTGTGGTGTGGGTGGACTGTGGTGTGTGTGCGCACGTGTGTGCGTGTCTGGTGCCTGTGTGCTTATGTGTGGCGTGTGTGCATTTGTGTGGACTGTGTGGTGTGTGTTTGCTTGTGTGTAGCGTGTGTGTGTGTGGACTGTGTGGTGCATGTGTGGGTGTGTGTGTGGACTGTGTAGTGCGTGTGTGTGTGCTTGTGTGTGGCGTGTGGTGTGTGCGTGTGTGGACTGTATGGTGCGTGTGTGTGTGCTTGTGTGTGACGTGTGTGCTTGTGTGTGGACTGTGTGGTGCGTGTGTGTGTGCTTGTGTGTGGCATGTGGTGTGTGCGTGTGTGGACTGTAGTGCGTGTGTGTGTGCTTATGTGTGGCATGTGTGGCGTGTGTGCATGTGTGTGGACTGTGTGGTGCGTGTGTGTGTGCTTGTGTGTGGCGTGTGGTGTGTGCGTGTGTGGACTGTATGGTGCGTGTGTGTGTGCTTGTGTGTGGCGTGTGTGCATGTGTGTGGACTGTGTGGTGCGTGTGTGTGTGCATGTGTGGCGTGTGTGCGTGTGTGTGGACTGTGTGGTGCATGTGTGTGTGCTTGTGTGTGGCGTGTGTGCATGTGTGGACTGTGTGGTGTGTGTGTGTGCGCTTGTGTATGGCGTGTGTGTGGACTGTGGTGCGTGTGTGTGTGCTTGTGTGGTGCGTGTGTGCATGTGTGGACTGTGTGGTGCGTGTGTTGTGCTTGTGTGTGGCGTGTGTGCATGTGTGGACTGTGTGGTGCGTGTGTTGTGCTTGTGTGTGGCGTGTGTGCGTGTGTGGACTGTGTGGTGCGTGTGTGTGCTTGTGTGTGGACTGTGTGGTGCGTGTGTGAGTGCTTGTGTGTGGCGTGTGTGCATGTGTGTGGACTGTGTGGTGCGTGTGTGAGTGCTTGTGTGTGGCATGTGTGTGGACTGTGTGGTGCGTGTGTGTGCTTGTGTGTGGCGTGTGTGCATGTGTGTGGACTGTGTGGTGCGTGTGTGAGTGCTTGTGTGTGGCGTATGTGCATGTGTGTGGACTGTGTGGCACACACGCTTGCATTTTCCCGGGGGCTGATCCATTGCATTTGTCATCTTCTCCAAAGGGGTCTATCTTTGCTGAAAGATTTGCTGACCAAAAAAAAAGGGTGGGGGGGAGTTCAGCTGCTGATATTTTTTTAAATTTGGAAACAATCAGACCAGTCAAACTGCTCCCTTTTATGGTTAGAGAAACTGAGGCCCAGAAGAAATTGAAGCAAGAAAAAGGAAGTTGCCCAAGTTTACAGGCGAGTTAGTGGCAGCATCAGCACTAATGCCCAGGACTCCTGGCCCCCAGCCCCAGATCCTCTTTCCACCTGCCTCTATGGCCCTCCTCACATTTGTGTAGATGCGTAGCTTTTGCCTGTGGGAGAGGAGGGATGGGAGACGTGTCCAGACCCTCCTCGGAGGCCACATGAGCGGGACTGTTCTCGGCCCAAGTCTTTCCCGTTCTTCAGAGAATGTGCGGGGCCCCTGGGCACGCAAGCTGAGATCCACCCAGCCCTGGTCCCTTGGTGAGAACTGAGGGACAGGACCTGGTTCTGGGGAGAGATTGCAGGGGAATGTTCCTCCCTTCCGCAGCCCCCTCCCCAGTTAGGAGGCAGGCTCCCACCCCAGAAGGTGGCCAGGTTTTCATGCCTTCCTAGAGAAAGCTGGGGCTCATGGCCTCCACCACAGGGAGATGCAGACCCTCAGACACAACTCTGTGAAGTCACAACCAGCCCCAATTTACAGATGTGAAACTGAAGCTCCAAAAAGTCGGGAGGTCACTGAGCGGGGAGGTGATGGAGTGGGAACAGCTCCCAGATCTGGCTGAGGCCGAAGCCCTGGAGAGATCCCCGCAAAGCTCTCTTAGATGTCTGACTTTCTGTTCTTCCTGAAGCCTCACTCCCTTCTCTCCTGGTGCAGACACATCCCCGTCAGAAGGCACCAACCTCAACGCGCCCAACAGCCTGGGTGTCAGCGCCCTGTGTGCCATCTGCGGGGACCGGGCCACGGGCAAACACTACGGCGCCTCGAGCTGTGACGGCTGCAAGGGCTTCTTCCGGAGGAGTGTGCGGAAGAACCACATGTACTCCTGCAGGTGAGGAGCCTCAATTTCTCCAGCTGGGAAATGGGCACACTTGGGCTCATGGCCCCAAGGTCTGTCTTCTCCCTGAGTGGGTGGGTCCCAGAGACAGCTGCCCTTCAGGGCCTTCACGGCTCTTCTGGTTTTGTAGGCTTTGTGAATCCAAGATGAGCATCTATTCTAGGAACCACATTTACTGATCATCAAGCTACTGGCTGCCGTTTATTGAGCTCTTATCATACGCCAGGCACCATACTAAGTCTTCGTGTGTATTTAATCATCCCCTGGAGCCCATTGTTCTTTTTCCCATTCCATGAGGCCTCTTCTGAAGTCTCAGTAGATGAGCCCGTCTTCCACTCTGGTGTTTTTTCGGGGACAAATAAGAGATTGACCCCAGGCCACTCCACCGACCCCAGGCCATTCCACTTACCCCAAGGGCTTCCACCAAACCCTAAGTCTTCTCAAGGCCATGGAGAGCCCTCTTTCGAAAGCATCTCCTGTTCTGGGTAACGACAATAATAAAATCATAGCAGCTGTCAATCGTGAGCACTTGTCATGTACAGAGACTGTGCCCATCAGTGCATGACTTCATTTCACCTGTCAACACCCTGCGAGATGGTTACTGTTGTTATTCCCGTTTTATAGAGGAGGAAGCTGTGGCGTGGAGCGCTAGGCATTTGCCCAAGGTCAACCAGCTTGAATCAATGGCAGAGCGAGGGTTAATATTCAGGACCCCACCCATCACCACTGTGTGGC